AATCTCATCTAATCTAATCTAGTCTAGTCTAGTCTAGTCTAAATCTAATCTAATCAATCTAAATCTAATCTAATCTATAATCTATAATCTAACCTAATCTATCTTTATATGTATATATATATATGAATTTATATATGTACGCATGTGCGTGCAGACTGCTCCACTTCGCGAGAATCGGATGCCTAGGCATCCAGATCTTGCGGGCATGCTGGCGGAAAGAGCTCACAGATCCACGCTCGAGTTGGTAGCAAGTGGGCTCTTCAGTGCCAACTGATATCACGTGATCCATGTGGCAAAAGTTGCAATGCCTTCATGTTGTCCAGGCCTACAGGTGCAGTTGCTTCCAGCAGGCCTCGGCGAGAGTGCAGGCCCACATCTGTTCTCAACTTGTTGCAACTGGGTGGAGGCTTGCCTAGTGTTTCTGATCGCTTGTTTTTCCCACTGGTTCTTTGGGTTCGCTGCGCTTTCTACAGCTGTGGACATGGCGAGTCGTGGTTGTGGTCACCGAGTCTTCGTTCACAGCGGGATAGCCTTTCAATGCCTACCGCAGCCCCTTTCTCTAACAAAAATAAAGCGCAGGGTGATACCGACTTAGATTCAGATAAAAGCCAGGCACTATGGCCAGCTTGCTTGATGTGGAGCTCGGGGCAGACGGAGGAGCAAGTGCCGCCGGGATTTTGACTACAGGTCCGGAGCCTTCCTAAAGAAACTTTGGTCCCGGGCTTGAAAACTGGACGTGGCTTTGCACTTCACGGCTTTGGGCTCTAAGCGTGTGGCTTTCTGCAATCCCTCGATTTGCGCCTTGGAACTTGAGGTGTATCTCTAGACTTTGATTTCTCCTCGTAAGGTACCGTACCGTAATTTTTCCTAGACTAAGATTTTGGTTGCTTGAAGATTGGAATGCCTTAGTCAAAACGTCAATACGCAGAGCCGGGACTTTCTGCAGGAGTCTTGCCACTGCCATATCCAAGCCGCGACAAGGTGTAGATTAGTCGAGCCATTACGTAGTCGCAAGACGTTCAGAAAGTCAAAAGTAATGTTGACAGGTAGCAGTACAGGAAGGCGAGTGCTAGAAAGCACTTCGGTAGGTCAGACGGCATCGGAAGAGAGCGTAGCCGTCATGAGCGCAGCCACAATTGCCATCACGATTCAATCAGCGACAGGAGGTCTTGGTAATCCTCGCCTGTGGCGATGGAAGTTGGCAGTAGTTGTCGTGTCGTGTTTCGAGAACGAGAGGAATGATGCTGTGAACACATTTCCAGAAGAGGCAGCTTGCAGTACTGATAATGTTTTTGATCACCTGGGACTCCCTGGAACACGGAGAGCTTGGTGAGCTGCCTTTTGCATGACTTGCTGTGATTGGAACAACCGAACAACCCCTACAAGAGTAACAGCTAGTCTCTTCTGATTCAGACAGGTTCCAGCCCCGCTTGGATACCCTGAATCTCCCTCAGCGGCAAACGACCCGCGATGTCCGGACGCAGAGACAAGCACAGGCATACCTCGTGCAGGAGTCGTTGCCTCAGCTGAGGGACAGCCACCTGAGCTTGCTGGAAGTGTTCCAGCTCCGTTGTCTACAGCTGTTGTGTTGCCCATGTTTGCCCGTGGTGCATACTTCCGGGGCATGAGGCCGTAAGTGTCAGACGTTGTCCTCCAGACAATTCTGCCCAACCCCTTCATTTGTTTGAGCTTTTTACTTGCTGTCGATCTGTCGTGTGCCGGCTGAACAAAATCCTGAAGATCCAATTGCTATTGCTTCATCCGGCTGAGATCATTGAAAACTGAAGCGCATGCCTGCCACGACTGCCTTGCCGAGATTACCCGTCGACGGTGTAGATGCAGCGGGACCTGTTCTTCGCGTAAGTCCGCACAGGCCACTCGGTCTTGAAGTTGTTCTGCAACTTTTGTTCGCAGTCAAGCTGATCACAGTAAGGCCGCTTTCCTCAAGCCTGCGAAAAAAAGCTCCCGATGAATAAGCCTGTCGTGTTGTTTGGATTTCGGAGCGCACTTAACAGAGTGAAGCTGCAGGGTCCTGCTGCCCTTCGGATGCGTTGTCCGGCTGGGTGGTTTGGACACAGGCCTCTCCGGAAGTGATCCAGGTGCTTGCAGAAGCTGGCTTGTGTGCAGTGTCTTGCTGTGCAATTAATATGAGACTTGCATATGTCATCAATGTTACGTTAGCAATACATTGCGTGACAATGGCGGTGGCGGCAATAGCAGACAGTCGCAGCAGAATCCAGTGTCAGGACCTGCGAGGCTGCGGCCCTTAGCTGGACGTCGAGCAGCGCTGCGAAGAGCGCTGGCTGATGGCCGTCGGCTGTTGGTGCGACCAGGGTATAGGAGCGGGCATAGCGCGGGCCGTCGTTCCGGAGTCGCGGGGAGTCTTGAGGAGGTTGGTTTACATGTTCGAGGCGTTGAACTTGAGCTTCAACTCTGGTATGCCTCTGCACAATGGGTGGTGCCTTGATACCGAGCAATGCTGCCTGCTTCCATGGTATGTTGTCACTGTAACATTGGGCCTAAGTCGCGAACAACTGCGCATTGGGGATCCTTGCGTTCGGTGTTGACAGCACCCCTTTAAATCTAGTGCATCAAGCATCAGGCCCTGCACGGTGGTTACACCTGTGTATGTCGTTGATACAGCCGTCCGTGCAACCCGCCGCTGACTGCACTGATTCCTCCGACTACATTCTTTAGACTTTGGGAGACTGGTTGTAAAGCCCAAAGCCCATGTGTGCAGGCGGTCGAAGGTGAGTCTGCCCCCGTTCGGTTGCTTCCGCGGCAACTGTTGCCATGACAGAAACAGGCAGTGATAAAGCTTTGACCTTGGATGTTGGGGTTGCAGCTGAGCAACCAAAGTCAAATCGACCATCAATGAGCGCTTCAGCCGCACAGTCCCTCGATCAGGTAGAGCTGGCTTTAGGCTCTAAGGCTTCGTTCATGCTGATGACACTGGTTCTCAAAATCCTGTACAAGAACACCAGTAGCATCCGGCAGAAGAGTTGCTGCATCGCAGAATCGGTTCAAGAAGATGACAAGGCTCATGCAACAGGGTGCAGGCAGTGCAGCCAAGGCCCCTGAATTGAAGCCGGAAGCCAACCCACCACTCCAGCAATTCCAGTTAGATGTAGCCCTCGCCGTCTAAGCCCTCCAGAAAATTGACGCCATGAACCCCAAGCACCTGAAAAGGTGTAACAGAACGCTGAGCTCACCACGAAGAACCCAATTCAACCCGAACCCAGAGCCCGTTTGACTGCCACTGTCCGACTTCCGAGTCGGCACTCGCCCAGGATGCCAGTAAATGCCGCTAGCCTACAGCCCCGACGCCTTTAGCCGATTCTAGACGCCAGCCCCTAAACCATACTGTGTAGAATGGCTTCTTGTGGTGGGGCACATGCCTTCTTAACCATGGCTCCTGGCAATGAATGATCTGGGTTCCTACCAGCGCCTTGGCTTTAACGAGTCCCCAGTATTAGAGGCTTCATGTTTTGACGCTCGACATGGAAAAGGGGTTCTTCACAGTCCGGCATGCGGCATGCTTTGCAATTCTGCCGAAACTCGAAAGCCTGAGCCCATCGGCCTCTTACGCTGCTGCTTCTCTTGGGACAGCCAAGGCTCGGCCGATGCATTATTCGAGGAAAGTCTTCACGCGTCACAGACCCGTGGCACATAAAGGCCCACTCTCCCTGCAACTCGTGCAGGTGGAGCCTTTGCGTCTGGGGTTGTGGGGCCGTTGCGGACTTTAAGTCTAGGTAGAGGTCTGTCGATGGCGTGCAGTCTCGGGGACGGCCGTGCAATCTCAGCAGGCTGAAGACATCAATGAATCAACGGACACCTGCCGTAAACGTCCCAGAGGGCCAGTCGCACGACGAAACGCACACACCAACGCAGATAGGCAATGCGTTGGCCTTTATCAGGTGGATCTGGTAGTGTTGATGTGTGCGGAGAAGTCCCTTTGCCTACCGCCTGCCAAGGAAGCGACATATTTGGAGACGGGCCACCTAGCTGCAAATAGTACATTCGGGTGCTCGGGTTCCCTAAAAAGTTTGTCGGGGCCCTTCCTTGGGCTGCTTCAGACAGAGATGTCACGAAGGCCTTCGAGGCAACACCAGGGGGCCAAAAGCTTTAGACAATTTCCTGCGCTTCAAGTCTCTGTGTGCGCACCCGACGAGTATCAAAGAAGCTTCTTGTATCAATTCAGTGGATATTGGGTATCCCCCTCGCAGCGCTGAGCGGGTCCACTCAATTGTTCATCGGGCTTTCGGATGGCAGGAGGAAGATCAAAGATATCGCTTGTAACTGAGGTGTAGTGGTTGCAATCAAGCAGGACACCTGGCTGCAGCTATTCAGCCAGAGCTTTGTGAACTCTCTACACTACACTTCTCACCAAGAAAGCAGATTTTTCAGTCTGTATACAGTAGCCTGTTGAGGTTTGGTATCAAGCGACTGCTGCCGATGCTTCTTCCCATGAGGTGAACGAAGTCGCTTCCCAGAGTGACAAGGATGCGAACACCGTCAAGGAGAAGGGCATAGGATGAAGAGTAAAGAACCCAGGACTAAGTTCACATTGAGATTCCGTAAGGTACATATTATACTGAGAAAGTCAACACGCCCTCTTAGAAGGAGATGGAGACAGAGATCACCATCCTTCAGATGCTGGACCATCCGAACTTGATCCTCGGTGCTAGTATAATTCCTTTGCAAACCAGCTCTTCGGTGTTGGGGCGAGACACAACGCAGTTCTACACATTCGTTTCTGGTGTGAGCTATTCTTAAGGGCGACAAAACTCGCGGTCCCAAATGCTCCGGGCCAAGGATCAAATACCACACGCACTTCGGGCACCATGGGGACCTCTTCCTCGCTCCAGCCTCAGACTTCCGCTGGAAAGGTTGAGAATGTTTGCAGATGAGCCCTCAGCCCTCCAAGATTCGAGGTCTGGGCCTTAGAAGAACCGAATTCGGGGCGGTGTATAGGCAAAATTAGCAGGCATTGAACTTATCCAACTAAGGCTATGAAGAGCTACATGCCAGGAGCGGGAAACACGAAACGCAAATTTTCAAACCCGAAGTATCGCATCCTATTCCGAACTTTGGTGCCCGAAGTCCTTCGCCCTAGCCTTCTATCCTTCTTAAGTTCCAAACCGTCGCAGCTTTACCGAAGAACACAGTGGGGTCCCTGATACTTCGGCAAAAAATAGTTCTGTCTCCCGCAAACCCGGAACACTAACATGCATCTACGTGCGTGTATCATCTATCTATATATGTATATACATATACACACATGTGCAGCTATAATGCATATAAGCAACGTTTGATGATGTATGCATGTATATACTTACAGACACAATAATAGAGATGGCTCAGGGTTTAGGCGCAAAGCCCCAAGGCCGAAATCCTGCCTGCTCCGAACCCATACACATCTCGGCCCCCGGCATCCCAAAGCCCTTCTACAGCGATCCTTCATTTTTGGGTTTCAGGATTTCTGATTCTGTATTGGGATCCCTGATATTCTGAACCACTGAGAGGTCATGGAGCTGGCTTCAGGCGGGACCCTGGCCAACAAGATCGACCAGGTCAAGGAGCTACTTGCCTGTGACACGCAGTGCAAACAAAAATGGTTTAGGGTGGAAGGGAAGGTGGCAAAGGTTGCATAGGTTTTGGGGTTGAAAGTTATGTTATTATGAAGGTTCAGTGTTAGGGTTTTGAGAAGCCCGCGAATGAAAGTCATGCTAAAAAAGGAAAACTGTCGTTTATGCGCTTCTGATAGAGAGTGCGATAGGCCTTTTAGGCCTGGGTTGCACTCAGTCTTCGAAGTTCAGAAGCTGCTGATTACACGGGTGTTTCCACGGCCAGCGGGATCGTGAGAGAGTGATGCGTGCAGCCGACATGAGCTTCGCGTTTGTCCCGGAGCTTCTCCGTCGTCAAAACCACGAGGAACAGGCGGTTGGATTGTTGCTTTGGGGCTGAGTCTTCTGATGATCAGGATTCCGGAATCAAGGGCTCAGGCTCCAAATTGAACAGAATGCAGTAGCTTTGCTCATGAACGGCTGTACCATGCGCGCCACTGCATGTGCAGCTCCAAGCCCTGCCCCCCATCCAACAGCAGAGATTGTCAAGTTTGGCAAGGCAAGAGAAACGAATTGAAGAGCACTTCCTTTGGAGATGGCATCTTGGCAGTGCTTCATGCGCGAATGGGCTGGCAACTGTTCTCCTGCTTGCCTTGCCGTTTCACAACGCATTAAACTGAGGCTGTGTGATGTCGCAAGCACCTCGCCAGCAAGAAAGCACCTCGAGGGGTTGACGCGCAGTCTTGGTTGCCATGTGCTGGTGCCTCAAGCCCCCAGGATTCCCCAGGGTAACTTGATTAAGTTAAGTCTCCCCGACTTTTGGCATTACCTAACATGTTACATACCTCCTGCTAGCGGCTGCTAGCAGCCAGCGTTTCCGCAGGAGCCGTCACCCTCACAGATTCGAGTGCCCATCTTAGGTGCTCTTGCGTATTTGCATAAGCGCCGTGTTCTCCACCGATGCCCGGCTGGAAGTGCACGTACATGCCTTGTGTTCAACTCAGGCGTTCTGTGATTCACGTGTTACATGCCTTGTGTTCAACTCAGGTGTTCCGTGATTTTGCCTTTAATTTTGATGACCTTACCAGTCCCTTTTGCTGCCCAACGTCTTGTGAAGTATCTTTCCTGACCGTCTATCCCTTGCCGCATCTTATAAGAACCTCGAAACATCATCCAGTGCTGTGTGAAGATGCGAAGACTGATTTGAAGGAGACATAAAGCCTTCGCACATCTTCATCTTCCAGAATGGCTTGCAGGCTGTCCAATCCACAGCACAGGAGTAATGAGATTCCACGGAGAAGGAGTGTGGAAAGTCCTGACATCGATAAGGTAGCTCCCATTGTAAACCTCTGGAGTCTTTCAGAGTCAGCTGTCTTATGCCGGACAAGTCTTTGTGAGTTTTTTTTTGATAATTTCTGTCAACTAGTGAACGGAACGAGCAACGATAAGCAACGCATTCCCTATTGCTTCAATCCAAGCTATAGCGACGAACCCATGAATAGCCGCATCGCAGCCCCGGTGACAGGCCAAGCTGGGCGACTTCGGCCTCTCCAAGGCTTCAGACTCTTAGGGTGTCTAGGATTAAGGACAGCTACTAGTAATAGGACTTTTGCTACTACTACTACGAGTTCTGCTACTACTACTCATAGTACTAATACTACTATGCTGTAGGTATGTCTCGAGCCCCAGGAGCTTCCAGGATCTTCCCAGGTCAAGGTTCTCAGGTCTTCGTCACTTTCGTTCAGGCCTTCTCGGACACAACGCAGTGTGCCATGTCCTGCGTGGGCACCCCGCGCAGAGCTCAGAGCTTCAATGTTGAACGCATAGGTCATAAGCACTGTTTACACAGATGCAGGTTTTGGGCGTTGCCCTCCAAGTATGTTGTTGTGTATGGGTTGTATATACTGGCAATATATGCTTTAAGGCTTAATTATAGAGGTGAGGGCGAGTAGCTTGAGCACTTGTGCTTAACTCGCGGAAATGTTTTCAATCGCAGTGCCTGATCTCTGAATGTGACAAGTGCTCCTGTGTAAAAACAGGACTCTCGTTGCAGAAACCCCTTGTAAGCAAAACCTGGACCCGAGTCAACTTTGACCGCCTCAAAGGCTGTACATGGCACCAGAAATCGTCCGTGGAGAGCCTTACTCTTACGGACACCTGGCGGCACGGGTGCGGCTAAACTGACTCCCAGTATCGGAGGCCCCTTCTTAGACAGGCGCAGAGCCAGGTAAAGCATAGCAAGGGGGATTCACCGAGTCAGTGGCAGCTGTCGCCGACATGCCATCCAAAGCCTCCGAAGTTATACCTTAGCTTGCTCCTCACGATTCCTTCATGAGCCTGCCCCCCGAAAAATGTAAGCATTCTGCTGTATCGGATGTATCCAACAGCTTGTACACGATGTGGCCCAGCCAGCTTCGACCAGAACTGCAGCTTCCAAATCGTGGCAGAGACCAAGCAGACATGTCAATTGCCTTTGAGACCGCGAAGCCCCAAACCGAACACGACGCGAATCCACAATCCTGGAATCGCACCCTCAAGGAATAGAAGTCGAGCCCGCATCCCAAAGTCTCCAGCCCCCCAACTCTCCAATGTCCCAGGCTCAGACATTTGGAGCCTGGGATGTTCCCTCTACGAGATGGCAGCCCTCGTGCAGCCCTTCACGCGCAGCGCCCTTTGGCGTTCATCGCAGTTGCGGGATGGAACGGTTTGGGCAGCAACATCCCCGTCCCCAAGAGCGTGCTTTGACCTCGTTGCCGTAGCGGCTTAGGTAGTTGTGGCTTTGGCAGACCTCGCTTCTTAATAGGATCGGGCTTCGTAGGCACCTTGGCGATTTGTCAAACACTGCAGTTGTCACTACAATCACTCCAATTGAGCAGCAGTTCCACTTTGTAGTGATGTGAAAAGCTCCCGCATCAAATTGCAACCGCTGTCGTGCATGAGAAGCTAATGGACAGTTCGTCTTTGTTGTACATCCGAACTAGCCCCTTCAGATTGCCAAACCACCGCTTCGACGGATGCATGGCTCCAACTGTCTTCCCACGGAAAAGGGGAGACGCGAGACCCTTTAAATTTAGGAAGGCCCCCGAAGGTTGCACGCATAACAAGTAACAAGACAGCATCGACTCCAAAGCACTTCGTCATCAAAGCTCAATCGTTGGCAGCCGAAGCCAGGACATGGACTTCGTGGCTCTGGGTCATGCAATCACTAATGCGGAGTACCCAGAGCTGCCACCGGCCGCCCGGAATGGAGAAGGGGACCGAGGTTGACTTGGGTTTTGGTGGGATGGCTGGCATGCACTTCGGATGGTCTTGCTGCCTGCCCAAGGAAGTTTGGTCCACCGACTTCATCAACATGGTCTCAAAGCGACATGGCAGCGTTGCTCGAAGATCGTGAAGTGTCACTAGTGGTGGGATGGCTTCGCCAAAAATGCATCCTGAGTGAGACTTGTGATGCATGATGCCCGGATGTGAGACTTTTGATTCCCGGATGTAAAGAAGCTGTGCTATGCCTGTCCTGGAGCAGCGGCTTGACTTCAGATCTGGTTTCCGAAAGTATCCAACACCTGCTGGTCAACTAGCAGTTTGTTTCAACTGGGCAGCCATTGCCATGGTAACCGCAGTCCTACATCGATAGCCACTTACAAGCCCATTGATTAGCCAGGATCTTGACGGTGGATCCGCTGCACCGCCCTTCTGCACAGACTGTTCTGGATCTGGCCGCATGCAAGCAGCTCGCTGGAAATGTGGCTTTTAGGGGTTCGGGGCTGGGCCTGCAGTTCACACTATGGGAGCAACAAGCACAGCATCAGTTTCTAGGATCTTTGTGTTTAGGGCCTAGTTTGCAGAAGAGTCTTTTCTGTTTTTTGCGACTTTGTCGGTGTCGCACCACGGCCTCTTGATTTCTACGCAAATGTGCCGTGCGATATAAAGTACTTCCGACACCTGTCCAGGGATCCTCTAGACTGTCTAAACTGCGTTAAGCTTCTACACTCGAGACAGTAAGGCCGAAGGCCTGAGCCGAGCCTAAACCGCAGTAGTCTGAAACCCCGCAGCCCGGGTTCTATTGCTGGGTGGAGTTCATTTGTTCCAAGACAAGCTTCAATTTCTTCGCTCCCACTAGAGCACGCTCAGGCTGGTCTCACGCATTCAGGACTTTCAGATCATTGGCAGCATCGGTCGAGGGCAGCTCCCTGTCCATCCACTTGAGTCTTTTTTTTTGTGAGGCCTCGGGTGGTTTAACTTTCAAGGTTTCATGCGTGGAGGAGACAAGTTCTAAGCTTGGAGATGCAGCTGCAGTATGGCAGCGACTCCCCAAAACAGCCTGCAAAATGGACCTGCACCCAGATAGAACCAGCCTCAGGTTCTCAGAAGTCCACCGAGCTCTGTGGAAATCCAGCGGGGAACGCGCCGATCTGAGCTCGCCTGGAGATGGGCGGCTTTGGGATCTCTGAGGAGTCCGCTGCTGCGTAGTTTGCGGCACTAGGATCGCTAGAACTAACATGGAGGTTTTGGAGCTTCGGGCTCAGAGAAACGCAACAGTGTGTTCTTTACGGGCGGCAGTGCTCTGTAATTATAGAGTTCAGGTGGTCCGTGCTGAGGACTCCAAATAGCCCCTTCTACAGTAAAGGTAGAGAGTGGACCTGTTGCCGAGGTGAAGTGGCCTTGAAGCGAATCCAGAAGCTTGTCTACTTCGATCGTTCTGTTTTGCATAATGAAAGGAGCCCTTCAAGCAGCCCGTATGCTCGAATCGCGAGAGTCCAAAGGAGCCCTTTTTGGATTTGAAACCCTAGCACCCTGGGGGCCCGGGAGTTGAGAGTTTCTGCGGCTCAGTGCGAGGTGACTTCTGCTTGACACGCCTCTGATGAAAGAAGCCTTCTGCTCCGTATATACCTCATGTCATACGTGCATCCGGCGGGGTACAACAAGATGACCTTGCTCGATCCAAAGCCGTAGTTATACAGCAGAATTCCCTGTTCAGCGTGAAGGCCCTTCGGTTTTCGGCTCACTTCGTAGGTTAAAGCCTGGCTCGGCGGTACATTGTGCTGCTGCTCTTGCGACCGCTCTTTTGATTGGTCCTCTCTTTTTGATCACGGCTGTCGTTGTGTGGCCAGTGTTGCTGTTGCTGTTTCGGCCGCGGTTGCTGTTGTGACGTGCCTCTCCATGAAGCCGCTACTGTAGTAGACTTTCGGATGCTCGCGGCCCCTTTAGCATTGGGTCATATTGGGTCAGAGGATGCCGGTCGATTCAGCTCGCATCTGCAAGCACATAAAAGGCGCAGCCGTGTTCCCCACCATCCCTGCCCTGCTCCACCGAGCATCGAGTTTCATGTTTGGTGGCAACCACACCCTTTTTTTTGCATGATTGCGCAACCCGGGTGATAGATAGTCAGAATGTAGGGTCCATGATGTACGGTTGCAAATGTGAGAATCTTTTGAAGCTTAGGATCTACGAGATGGACGATGATGCCCGGAGCGAAGTGTATGCCGAAGCAAAGATGCTTCAGGACTTTGCGGCGGTTTGGGTTTGATTGAACAGGGTTGCCAAGCCCTCAGTTCGGGCTGGTGTTCATGGATCCCTTAGGGACCTTGGATCACGTGGATCGAATTTGTTCTGCTTCGTGGGGGCCGCGGTCGAGCCCTTTGCCAACATTCACTCACATCTGGGGCCGCACGGCATGGCCTGATGCCATAAGTCGTTGCTTATCTCGCGGCCATGGGGCTACTTCCTCGATCATAGGTGTGCATACTATCGGGCTAGGCTAGTGACGAGTGTGCCGTATATGATGGGCCAATGACCACTTCATGGCTCGCATGACGTATACTACGTGAGCTGCAATCCTTGCCTGCCTTGTGCGAGAGTGAGAGTCGAAGCTCCCAGCCCATAAGCCAAAAGGAGCTGGCACACCCCACGATCATCAAGTACTTTGTTTCTTGGCTCAAAGTTCGCTGCTTGTGGCTGCATGAAAACGACTCGGAGGTTTGTGGTGTCGGATTTGTAGAGTTTGAAGGGCTCGGGGCTCCAATATTCTGGGGATTCTGGGGCCGGGTCAGCTTGGACTCGTTTCCGAAACCGGGGTCAGTCTGCTGGAACCGAAGGCCTAAATCAGACCCAAGCTTTGCGTCCGGATTGAAGCCGGCAGCTCAAAAGCTTGTTCAACCGGTTCCTGAACGTTGAGGTCAAGCTTCAGGGTCATTTTCAGTTCAACTGCATCCTAAGCCGCCGGAAGCCATCCTGCTACAATCTTGCAAGCGCCAACCAGGGCTATATACAGCTTCATGCTACCAGCTTCTGCTCCCAGCCTCCTTTGTTTGCAAGCCGCATTGTCCCAGGATTCTTTCACGGAAGAGATGGAGATGGTGACTTGGTGCCAAGATGCCTTTGGTTTGCAACCGCTGGGTAGGGCCTGAAGGAGGATTTGGGTGAGTGTAGATAGGACCCGGAATCCCACAACCCTGAAGCAAGTGTACTATGAAGAAACTTCACCCTGCTCACCTGCAGCTGCTTCGCTAACCAGCCTCCTTAGCTAAGAACGACGCTGGTGGGTAGTGGCAGTAGCGATTGATTTTGAAGGCTGCTTTGTGCTGCTCTCTCAGACAGATGCAGTATGTGTGAGATGAGGGTGGGAGTTCTTCCGGCAGGTGGCGAAGTTTTGTGTTGTGTGCAGTTTGTTGAGGGTGATGCCCAAGCAAGTATGCATTGGTGTGGCTGATTCGCACTCTGGCACTGTGGCCTGCTTATCCAGTATTCCAGAGCTTGCAGTCTTGTGGTTACGTAGTTGTTTGACCCCAGCACTGTGCCCCGCTGGGCCTGTTATTGGTGCATTTTTATGTTTGGCTGTTGCTACGTTGTTCTGCACTGCTTTGTGTATGTATGTAGGTCATGCATTCATAGAGTTCGACTATTGAGAGCTTCATGCCGGGGAGTAGGACAAGAGTTGTGTGCTTGTGCCTGTGAATCTTTGATGCATGTGTCAAATTTCCAGAGCTCCAGTGTGTTGCAAATTGGCAAATTCTGCATGAAATCTGAAACTTACAAGCACCTTCTCTTTGAGGTGATCATCCTGGAGTTAGCCGCTCATGGAGACCTGTCGAGTTTGCTAAGCCACATGGCCTACAGCAGCCGTAAAGTCAGTAAAACAAGGCAGAAACGATGGAACCGTGGTCCGTGGCCCGTACAAGCAGATTGCAACAAGAGGTTTTCTACAGCCGCCTCCTACCAGCCCCTATACCCCCAAGTTAAGATCCTCGTGATTCGTCGGCGTGGGAGGGACAGGACAGGGGATCAACATCGGTAGTGAGCTGGGTTTGTCCAGTCATCGAGTCTTTCTAAGGCTCACTCTGGGTATCTAGTATCCGCCTTGTAATTGAAGCCCACGAGTCTGCCCTTGGGTTGGGGCCCAAGTGATTCTCAATGCTAGCCCCTCGTAAGCATCTCAGCAAACCACCCACCAACTAAGATTGCAGAAGCCTCACAGCCTGCACGATGTTGCATGCTCTTAGTAGCTGGCTACTGTCTCCGTTAGAGCCCAGTGGGATGATACCTCGGCGTCCACTTTAAATCCAGTCGAACTGAGGCAGAACCAGACATGGCAACCGGATGCTCGAAGAGCACCAGGCTTCGCAAGAGTGGCTGAAGCCTTGAAGCTTAGGCGACGGTGAGCTTTTGGAATGTGCTACGTCTAACTCAAGGTTGTGGAGGAGGCGCATGTACAGTTCATGCTAAGACCGCATGCAGGCTAAGGAAACAAAGTTCCGCAAGCAGAAGCTGGTCTTGGGAACCTGTGCCGAAGGTTTGGGGCATCTTCTTTCAGATCTGCGATGCGCTGCACCACATGCACAGGCAACCTGAACCGCATTCCCCGGCGTGGCACACAAACTTATAGCGCAAGCCTGAAACTAAACTCTACGACGCTATGACGGGACTCCAGACATCACATGCTTCCGCCCGGGTCAACATGTGCCTTTCCTTCTTAGCATGGGCAGTCTGTGCTGTTGTCATAAGCTTTGCATGGGTTGTGGTTATTCATTGTGACCCAGGGCTTGTGTCTATGGTTCAGTTGGTATGATGCCCTTACCGTTACTGCACCAAACTATCTATTGTGCTTTTTCTTTACCTGCTTTGTCGTGCTTTGTGTGCAGTACGATTGCTTTTAGCTGCAGGAGTTCACGCCTGCTTTGGAAAATGTTTTCCGTTATCATGGCCATCATTCTTAGTATGATGAGCAAATATAACTTCCTGTAGTTGCCTTTACGTAACTTTACTTTTGTCGTGAATTGCTGCTTGTGCTGATGATGTGTGATTTTGCAAGCCAAAATCACGAGGAACAAGCTGTTGAGTTTTCGTTGTAAACTCAAGTCAAGCTCCACCAAGGCTTCCGCTAGGCCTTGGACAATGGTTTAGTTTCTGAGCGCTCTATGGGAGGATGGTCGGCTTTTGCTTGAAGAGGAGCGCTGTATATTTCTTGGAAACCGGCCTAGGCCTGGAAAAAAAGGGGAACAGAGATTGCTGAAGAGCCAAGTTACAAGGTCCCAAACTCCGGAAGCCCAGACTCGCGAATCCACAGTTGTGTTGTAGGCATCGCATCATGCACCGAGATGTGAAGCCGGAGAACACCTTTGTGTGTGACTTGCCAAGGAAGCCGTCCCATGGATTCGACTTGGGAGATAGGAGGGATAAAAGTAGAAACATGAAGTTGGGCTCGATACTTGACAAAGCATGTGTGTGCTGGGTTCAAGCACTTGGGGGAAGTTTAGGAGTTTAGGACATGAGCTTGAGGGTTCACCACAAGGATTCTGCCGGTGAGGCGCTTTAGTTTGCTTTGCCTGCCTAAAGCCATTTCCGCTAGTAGCTGTGGTGGGGGAGGCGACAGCAATACTACGATTCGGGTGCTTCAAGGATTTAATGTTTGTGTGGGGTTATATTCTGGGTCTAGGTGAAGATGCTGTGGTGAAGTGCAGGCCGGGATGAGCCTTGGTTTGTTGTGAAGTCCTCTGCCATAGGCTTTGGAAGGCTTTTCGTCACTGTCGTTCTCACAGTACATGGGCTAGGGCTTCGCGTAGGTATGTTTCTTCCTTGTCGGGTCTGGGCCGATTCCATTGTGAAGCCAGCTGCTTAAAAAGAAAACGTTGTTATGCATGCGACATGAAATCATTCAGCTGTGGGTGCATATTGCAATCCCACAACGCGAGAGCCAACCTCTTGCAAGAATCATCGGGTATTGCCAGGGTTGTATCGCTTGGCTCCTACCCGACCTACATACACACGTTGCTTCTCAAGCACGATGTTCGGAGTGTTAGGAAGCGGGCGATTGTTGCAGAAGCTGCCTCATGCACGCAGACCACGGATCTTTTTCTGTGACGATGTCAAAACCTCAATCCTGAGCCGCCCTGTCAACTGCGTAACAGACAGCCTTAAGACTCCAGTTGTGAGAGCAAACTCAGCCAACCCAGCAGTTGGTCCAAGGCCAGCATGGTGTCGTCAAGCTTGGGGACTTGGGTCTGGGCGACTTGCCTGAATTTAGCCCGCTCCAAGCTCTGAAGGGAACCCGGAGCGAGGCCGCGTCGTGCAGGGTTTAGAATGTTTAGAATCTACGGTCAAAGATGTGGGGCTTGCGTTTCAAGTTACAATTGAATAGCTGTTTAGAGCTTGTCGGCTTGAGGTCAATCTTCAACCACAGTTTTCTAGCACGCGATGCTCAAGGACATGATCTAAACATCTTCATTATGTTCGGGCTGCTTTTGACAAGTAGACAATGCCCGGAAGCCTCGCCTAAGGAAGGTACTTCAGCTCCAACACCTACAAGGCACACTCTGTGGTCGGTACTCCATTCTACATGTCTCCCGCACTTTGGTTGCAAATGTCGTCTTAGTGTTGCGCACTGATTCTGGGGCAATGTGATCCTCGCGGAGGGCCGCAGAAACTGCTCTGACTCTGGCGGCTTTCGATGGACACTTATCAGCTGACGCGCAGAGCCAAAACCCCAACACAACGAACTCGCACAACCACCACAGGACCCAAAGCCCTGCAATCCCTACACCGTGCCTACACCCTGGTGGCCAGTGTGAGCGCTGAAACCCCAACAACATCCCGAGCCCTCGAAGGCCAACAAGTGCCTAAGCTTTACGAGCCCAGGAGGTGATCTCCGTGCCTCGGACGCCGACTACAGAAAGGGAGTTGACAACAAATGGGGTGGCAACATCTGACCACCAGGGTATTGTACTTGTCAGACTAAATATGGCACCAACATAGACAAGAACACCAGTAGTAGCAGTAATGAGGCTCTAAAAGTGACTAGACATGATGAGCTTGACGAAAGCAAATGCATTCGTACGCAATGCACTACGGCACAACTGTAATCATAATCAAACTCTGGCCCTCACCACCAACAACTACTACCACTCCTGACTTTACCAGCAAAGTCTTTGCAGTGGCGTACAATGCTTCTCTAGAAGTAGCCCTCACCAACTGTGCAATTCAACTCCTATGCCTCGTACACTGCAGACGTCAAATCTGGTTGTGATGATCGGTTTCGGTGCAGCAGCATGACGGTGCGTGTGATCGGAGTCACATCCTTTCAGGATGCCGGCGGCTATTCCTTCAAGTCTGATGCTGGGCATCACTTCAGGGCTTTGTGCCCTAGGTTTTGCAGAAGGTCTCTGGACATGCCCCACGTTCGATCAGTCGCTGCAGGATATTTGGAGTATGGGCGTCGTGCTGTACGAGCTGTACACATTGAGAAGCCCTTTCGCCGACCCTGGTTTGAACTACTACATGCTTGGGCTGAAGACACCCGGACCGCTTCAGAGATGCATGTGGTTCGTGGACATGGGTGTGTATCATCACAGTGTGAGCTTGTTTGTCCGAAACTTCGGTTCAGAGTTTGCGGACATCTGAAGCAAGAATCGAGATACCCCAGGGTTGCCAAGTCCCGTGCCAAGATGTTGCAACGAAGTTTTCATGTTTTGCCTGAGAGACCGATGCTTGTGTCATGTACCCCCAGCGATTCAGGGTTTATCGGGCATCAGAAAGAACACATGGACAAACACATCCAGCCTGAAACAACATGCCTAGAAGCTCGGGTGGCCAAGCTCCTAATTGATCCAGCCCTGACACTTCGGCAGGCCACAGCATGTTGACGAAGTCTGTCTGTGATGCCGGTAGTTCTTAGGAGCCGTCTGAGTTCTCACCTATCTTGTTGCCGGCATGTCAGCAGCTCCAAAGTTTGCTTTTGACGGGTTGGCAAGGAGCTGTTACTCTGTACCCCCACTTGCGGGCGAGGCTGTTGTGTGTTTTCGGTAGCGCCGCCCCATCAATTCACGACTCCGCAGCCGTTCCTTTTTTTTATTAGCATGGCCCTCGTGGCCGAGTCCGTAAGTTTGTCTACTTGATCCACATGATACAGCTCATGACAGTTGGGAGCTTGCTGCTCCTTGCCTGGCTGTCGATCGCGCACGCCTTCGCATTCCAGGACTGATGTTGACGGTCTGGACTTTTGTAGCGGGGTATCGGGACAAAGACCTTGCGGTTCGTCAGAATTGTGCATGTGGCTCTTCGTGCAGTCGTTGTGCTTTCACCACATCGAGGTCATGGTGAACATGCTCAGACATTGGACCATTTTTGCCTTTGGAGGAGGTGTCGGTGGATGCCAACGGCGATGTTCAAGAGCTGCCGCTTGCTTCACCCAGCCCTGCTTGCCACTGTGCCACGGTTGGGGTTACGAAGGCTGCACACCGTCACGAGTCTAAGGTCTGCCTCAGCGACGAGCAACTTGCAGACTCAGTCGCTGCAAGCAGCAGGGTTTGGAGTGAAACCTGCTTTCGGCATGCGTACATAACTTTTGGCCTTCCAAGTCATGGCACTTCCAACAGAAAGCGGGTGTACAATTTGCACACTGGCCGCCAGCTGTTCTCTTCTGCGTCGTTCTTGTCCCACCGCGGTTCCCTTCCACCCCTTTCTAAGACGAATGCCCGCTGCTAAACTTGTCGGGCATGGTGGACTCGAAGTTAATTACATTCTATAACGAATAATAGCACTTTTGTATTGTGAGGGTATGCGCTTGTCTTTCGTCCTTTCTGGCAGACTCTGCAAATCCCAGGCCAAAAAGAGAGAAGTATAGGGCCAGTTTCGGAGATTCTAGATAACTCGAGCTGCTCAACCATCTTCTCCTTACTGGCTTCATCCTCAGGAGCCAACCTCATGTGGAAGGCCAACAATCCTGACTTGTGACCCTAGGCCCCAAGCCATCTCCCTTGATCACCCGAACCCAAATCCTGCTGCGCAGGCTCGGCAGGTCGCTTTCCGAAACCCACACCCCTGGCCCAAGCTCTGGAGTATGGGAGGCAAACCCTGACCCGACATGACATCAGCCCCTACCGAGGATGATGGAGCGGCGGGCACAAAGTCAAGCGGCCAGAGGGGCGCTCCTGCGTGCCGAATTGCCAAAGTGTCCCGTGAGCGAGTACATCCCCGTGGGGGACGACTGCACATGTGAGTCGGCGCCTCGTTATGTAATATGATGTTGCGGAGCCTAATTATGGTGTTTCTCAGGTTGTGCAGTCGTTTTCAACCTACCAAACCGGGCAAGAAAATGGTCCAGGGGTGTGACGGAGATTTGTCGGATATGTAGGACTTGCACTGCGAGATGCTCCTTCCCTGCTGGGATGCATGATATGCATGTAGGTGGAGTGTGGCTCTGTGTGTGTGTGTGTATATATATATATACATCTATATGTACACATGGTATACGCCTATACCGTGAGGTTTGTACACATACAGGTGTATACAAGCACATGCTAGCACTTCTGAAGCGTCTTCGCTTGTTCAGCTGTTGCTGACTCTCTTAATTAGTTCATTCGTTCTACTAGATGTTCCTTCCCGTCCTTGTAAAGTGCGATCGGCGACGCCGCGATTACCGGCTACATGCTCCTACCAATCTGAATTCATCCTCACAACCCCAGTCGCAGTCGCAGCGGGGGTGGTGATGGTAGTGGTGGTGGCAGTTCGTTGTGGCGGCAATTGTTGCAATAGCAGCAAGTGTATTCATAATATGTGTAGTAATGAGTCGTTCTCATCATTTACGCATGATATGCCATATATGCTGACCGCGCTCACCCAGATGTGTCCCTGCAAACCCAAGTTTTCGGGTCTAGGCAAAGCATTCTCGCTTATTTCAGAACTGTACCGCTGAGACTTTAAGGTTTGCATCCCTTTAACGGCGCAAAGTCTTCGTACTAGGTCCACAGTACAAAACGGTGCGGAGATTGTGTTTGTAGGGGTTAGGGAGCTTAACTCTAGATACCTGCCCGACATCGACAAGGCACCACAGCAAACATTCAGATCCCTCACGTCCTCCCTGGCTTGCCTGCCTCTACCTAGAGTTCTGCATAGAGAGACACTCGTGAAATCTGATCCGGGAAGAAGAGAGCAAGCTCAGGAGACTTGCAAAAAGGACCAGTTCTGCTATTCTCCCGACGATGGCAAGGACAAGTGCTTAGATGAACAGAAGACGGATCCGTACCTCATCGATGTGTACCTTGTCTGTGTTGGCTTCATCAAATTGTTGGCTTGGTATCTCTTGGGCAGTGGAGCTGCCAGTGTCGTTTCGGGACGTGGGTCCTGATTTGGCTGTGTTCTCACAACTTAGCTTGATTCGGATGCCGTGTTCAGCCATTAACCCTCTCGCGACCCTGAGCCTTGTGTCGCAGGCATGGCTTCACAAAGAACTTGGGTCCCTCCACTCAGAGGAACGGGGCCATCGGAGGTCGCAAGTTCACCTTCACGAAGATGCTTGGTGCGTCTATGTGGTTGGTGTTTCCATTTTGTCAGCTTGCCTTTCCTCTCCCACAACTTCCTCCCGAGACTGGGGGAACAACTCCTTGTCTCGGTGTCTTCGAGCATCCACCCAATAATTAGTAGAAACACTCAGTCGTCGCAGCAGCAGTCCTGCTGCTGCCGATGCTGCTGCTGCTGCTGCGGGACCCGCACCGCTACTGACTGCCAGCCCCCCTGTCTTTGCTAACGCTAAGGCTGCTTCTGCTGATGCTGCGACTGCTACCTTCTGGTGCTTATGACTTTACGAGTACTTGCCGCACAAGTACTACTCACTGGTGTAGTTAATGCGGGTGTTTATGTCGATGATAAGGATGATTCTTAACTTAACTCCTTCTTTTTTTGAGCGTGGTGCTGGTTCTGGTGCTGGAGGTGGGGGTGCGGGTGGGCGCAGAGTGGTTGAGGTGGTGGTGGCGGCTTGTTAACTTTAGGCCCTTTAGGCACCTTTTCCCTGTTGCTAGCCATCCGGTCAATCCCGATATCCACGGCCAAGCCATGCAAAATGCAGCTTCAAGATTCTGTCCAAGGAAGAAGGACGACTCCCTCCTGCGGATTCTGTACACGGATACTTTTCGTGTTATTTGCCTCCTCGGCTGCAGACAAACTCTACAGTTGAATGTCTTTGTCCAGGTGCTGGTGTCAGGGGCGCGAAGGATTATTGTAATGGCCTGAGTGTCACAAAGTGCTTTGTGGGCAAGAGCCTTTGTTTAGTGAGAGACCTTTGCTTGCTCCCGGCACCTTGACGGCTGCAACTCTCCATGCGCACTCCCCCACTCCAACATGCCTTGGAGCCTTTTGGCTAGGCCGTCGGGGGGCATGAGCCACCGCCTTTTTTTAGGCAACCAGGCTTCCCCTTTTGCAGACCTCTTGTGCCAGCTCCAGCCCTAGCATGCCCCGTGCTGCTGAGAGCTTGTGACCGCCACTGTGACCGCAGCAGAACGTTATGCAGAGCAGAGGATGCTGAACCCCAAAGGTCACAGCAGAAAATACCATGGACGCTGGATCGATGGCTGTGCAGCCCGATGGGAGATCAAGATAGATGGACAGTCCTGCCCAAGCGGGGGCATATACCAGGACTGGCACCCACGGCAGCAAAGGGAATGTCCTCGTTTAGGCTAGACGAGAAGTCGAGGTTCGAGTTTCTGATTGACGAACATGCATAGCTACAGAGCCTGGCGTATCAGCTGCAGCATCGGAATCGGTCTGACTGTGTAAACGACTCGCCATCCGCAAGTCGTGAATGTATCTTCAACGGCACGATAAGCAGTCTTCACGAACTGTTCCAGGTACATAGAAGCTTGAAGCCGTGAGCATGGCCCATGACAGGTTCACGACTTGGCTAAGGGCTCCCTGCAGTCTTTGTAAGCGCCAAATCGAGAAGCTTGCAGAAAACCATTCAGGATGTTGCTGCCTGTTGAGTGCTAAATGACTTCGCGATAAGTTAGAACGCCTTCACAGTCATGACTAGTAGAAGAATTGGTTTGGTCTGCTGTGTCTTGCAACGCTACCGCGAAGGTACGTCCATCGGTTCCAAGATCCCCATCGCACACAGTCTTTCGGGGGCGTGTGCAAGGGGGTCAGCGAAGGCAAGCACACTCTGGAGGCGCGCGGGGCAAGAGAGACTATTTTTTTGAGCTGCTTTGGCACGTTTCCCTTAGACCTGGAAGGTTTTCGTCTACAAGACTCCCTGGCATCACCAGTGGAACATCAATTACCCCTACACGGGCTGGAGTGCTCATCATGGGACCGCGCGTCGTGGCTGGAGCTTCATGGGTTGAGGGCATTACCGATAGGTGTGCCTTTCTGTGGCTCTCATTTCGTTGTGGCTCTTTGGCCGAAGCATCCGCCCGCCACACCCCTGTAGCTGTAGACTGAAGGAAAGCGACGGTGCACATGGAGGTCCAGGAGATCCCAGAGTCTTACCCACTCTTTCACTATGCGACGGGCACACAGATGGATGGCAGAGTCCCTGGGTCTTAGATCATGAGACACATTCAACTGCTGATGACCGTCACTCAATGTCGGACGGGAAGGGTGTTGTTGAGGCTTCTGGTTCATGTAGATCCCCCGAAGCAGGGTACACCCCGAAGTGCAAAATGGTCTACATGGGAGCCCTGATGTTCGTTTGCGGAACTTGAACAGGATGCTGCGAAAGCATCACTGGCCCCCAGCGAGGCTTCCCATGACCTCCAGTATCTTCTGCAGTTCTTTGCACTGGTTTTGCCATTACCGGCTGTACTTGGCACGACCATAGCAATCGGGAGCACCTGAATGGCGTACGTCGTCGTGCGTTCAAGAGCTGGCCACGGAGCCTGGAAACTGAAACGCATTGGGCTTGGAAGTCAAGTCGGACGTGCCAGCAGCACCTATCGAGCCTTTCTGAGGATTCTGGCTGGGTCAATGCGCGCGTTATCTCTTTCAAAAAGCTTTACGACGACAGCAACTTGCGCCAGCTGGCTGCACAGACATGCTGAAGCAAGCCATGAAACTCCTCGCCCCAATGCAAAATGAACAAGCTAAGCCAGTAAGGCACGCTAGGAACGGTGTGATGTGTGGTGCAGCTTGATGGGGTACTGTCTGAAGCAGAGCAGTGCAAGATTTGCAGTGCTCCGACAACCGCTGCCGTGAGCGCCAAGCTTTGCCATTTGCACTGAGGCCTGTGGTATGTCGACAACCATCGCGTTATGCAGCACCATCATCATCATGGCGCTGGCTCATGTCGGTGGGAAATTCGGATCGATGGGCAATCATGTCCGTCCGGAACGATCCTTGGACACTCGGTTGCAATTTACCATGTTCCCTTTGTCTGATGGCCGTTTCTCTTTGCCGGAATGCGAAAACTAGGTACACAGTCGTGTCAATCTCTTGCCTTACCCCCTGGACCCAGGAGATTTGTACATCCACAGGCATGCAACTCGACTTTTGTATACTGAGCGGTTGGATTCTGGACCGGATGTGCTGCTGGTTAGTGGGTCTAGTTTGGACAGTGTGTTCTACTCAACTTAGGAGAACCCACATCGACCAAAAAGCATGGTCGGATACTGCAACGGGCTCGAAGCTGGCGATCACAAGGTCGGAGTCTGGCAGTTTCACGATCCTCCGGGAGTACTGCAGTCGTAGAGTCGGTTTTGCGCAAGACTGGCCGGTCTGCAGATCTAACATTGCCGAGTGCAAGTGTTAAAATTTAGGAGCTTGAGACAGTTCGGAGAGTTTCCATGCCGCTGGATGCCCACTCTTTTTCTTGTGATTATGATGCAAATTATTATGAGTCGGTAGTTGTACATTATTGTTTTCAGTCTGGATTCAACTGGGACATGCGGCACAGGGCCAGGTTGCAGACCCGAGGTTGCACCGGCATCATCGGCACTCATGGAGTCCAACGGATCTTGAGCACCGCAACGAGTTGAATACCCCAAACAATGACAACATGAGCATTATTGCCTGGCGAATTCATAGCGCCGAGTTGCTCAAAGAATTCTCCAGTCCGTTGGAACTGCGATCCATGGACAAAGAGAAGTTCATTCTGCGTTTGCGTTTCTGGGTTTTGCAAGCTAAAGCACCCACGGTAAACCAGATTTTGCACTTGTCAAACATTTGTTTGTTTGTCTTACTCGCTCCTGGTTTGATTATTCTATCGTGAATACATTGGCGTAGTGCAAGATCCAAGCATTGCGAAAGAGCTGTGCAAGCATCTGGCAACTGTGCATGGTGCACGCAGCTCATGTGTGTCTGCACATGCTTGCACGGTCAAACTGATCTCTGAGCGAACAAGTAATAACAAAGCCGGTCAGTCAGTAAGCAAGTGGACAACACCAAGTGCACGCTGGGCCTTTTGCAGAAACCTTCTGCTCTTGTATAGCGAGAAAGTACTCGGTTCTGTTTATGTTGAAAATACACATAAAATAGGAGTATATTGGCCCTGCTGATGCTGAAGAAGCAGAAGATGATGTTGAAGATGCTCATGCTGTGGATGATGGTAATGGTGTTGGTGCCCTCAGTGGTGGTCGTGATGATTGTTGGCACTTTCCGCATCGCAGTCGCAAATGAGAGGTGCAGGTGCACGTGTCCACAACGCCAGGACGGGCTGTGCTGATGCTGCCTGGTCAGTGCGAGCTGTGAGTAGTTCTTGATGGTAATCTGCCTGGCACGCGGCCACGTTAACAAACTTCAGCTACCCTCAACTGAAACAAACCCTCTGCCATAGATCCTTGGCCTGCGAGGATTGCATCGCAGCGATTGCTTCACCGGGTGGCACAGTGCTCGCTGGATCCTCGAAGCCGAGGAGATCCCGAAGCAATATGACATGGAATCTCGGCACAACGTTGTTAGGTGGGCGGGGTTCCTGGCCCGGAGACCTGCAACCCAGAGAAATTGGGCACCCTTTGAATGCCACACTGGCTTCAACTTAACTCAATGATCTGCTCGTTGCAGGGACTTGCTGTGATCGGTTCTACATTTGGTTGTGCCCCTGAGCCTTAAATCTTGCACTGATCACTTTAAGGTCTGAATGCCAAAAGACTTGGCGCCAGACTTTGCTGCTGCATCCAAGGTTCACTACAACATGCAGCACCAGACGGATCACAGAGAACACGGTATCTTGAACAATTACAAGGTCACATTCCAAAAGATCTTCGGCAGCAGTAGTGTTACGTAGTCAACTGTTCACAGTCTCCGACTACCGAAGAGGACTAGAGTGAGCAAGACTGCAAATGGCGGCCTGGTGACACGGCGAGCAATCAGAACTGAAAGACCATGATCTGATAGAGCCTGGTTGCTCGTGCCAGTTGTACTATTACTACTACTACTACTACTACTACTACTACTACCTACGACTACGACGACGACGACTACTACTGCTGCTACTACTACTACTACTACTCCTACTACTACTGTTACTGCTACTGCAACTGCTGCTGCTGCTACTAGTACTACTACTACTA